ACTTGAAAAAATCGGTTTGAAAGTACCTGTAGACGGGCCCATGTAGCAACATCAGGATTTAATTTAATTAATTTTAAGCGCCTTATTAGGCATGTTTTGGGGATATTGTATTTTATTTACAACCATACCTGTAATTTTGACATTACTAATGTCATTGAAGGTTTGAAAGTGTCACATTACCTACGTCTACTTCCCTCTTCCATTTCCCTCACCCATTTCCCTCACTCATTTCCCTCACTCGTTCAATAAAGCAAAATATTTATTTAAGTAATATATTTGTTGAACAAATTCTTATATAGAAACAACAGGGCAATTAATTAACAACAATAACATTTAAATAATTTATCATATATTATTTATTAAAATTAATGGTAATATTTGACTTATTATAGGATTTAACCGAAATATTTAAGAGACCTCCCTGATGATTTGAAATTTCATTACTAGAAAATGTTATTTCATGTCCACTGTCAGATCCCGTGAAGTTAACAGCAGGAGGTAGAGCGTTTGAACTGGTACAGGAGGACGATGGCAAAGTTGTTGAGGATATCATATTTGCGGTTTTAATTTGGTTAGCTACAGATTCATCCACATAACTTTCTGCAACTGTACTAGACCGCCAGCCCCCTAATGGCCGGTATACACGAGGCTAGTTTTTCAAGCTAGGATAGCAAGCCAGTAATCTGACTTACTATACTGGCATGGAACAACAATGCTAGAGCGGTACACACGATGCTGGAAATTTTAAGCCAAAGCCAGTATCTTTGTTGGTTACCGTGGAGAAAAATGAACAACTTACGCAAAAGAAACTCAATTATTAGACTGAAACATTTACTTGGGAAATTGTGTCAAGTTGCATTGGATCAATTATTAGAAGAGTTCCTAGAAAAACGTATTTGGACAAGACCATGGATTTTAAAAAGGAATGAACGTGGAGCCTCTGCATTGCTTTTAGAAGAACTTCGTTGTGAAGATCTAGGTGAATACAAGAGTGTTCTGCGAATGTCGCCAGCTATTTTTGATGTTCTGTTGTGTCTTGTGACAAGCAAAATACAACGAATGCATACTACAATGAGAGAGGCTTTACCAGCAAGATTAAAATTGGAGATCACTTTAGATTTTCTTTCTTCTGGTATCAGTTACAGGAGACTCAGTCACTTTTATCGTGTTTCGAGGTCTTCCATATCTAAATTTATACCAGAAGTATGTGTCGAAATCTACAAGGCATTGAAAGACAATATTAAGGTTTGTATTAACTTTATATATTTTTTTATTATTATGAAAAATAATATCTAATCCTAACTTAAATTATCCATCGCGAAATGCTGTAACAATAATATTCCCATCATTATTCTCATTACGTAAAGAATCAAAATTGATTTCATTTTCATTCTGTTGGTGAGAATTTTTTTGATATTCGATTGTTGAGCAAATCGAGTCATTTGATGGAAGTGGCACTGGTACAGTATAAATTGTCGTGGTTGAGTCTGAAGCTGAAGAGTTGTCACAAAGTGTCTGGAATGAAAATGTTGTATTTCCATTATTCAAATCTTGCAATCGACCACGAGATAATGTAGCATTAATTTCATCCCGAGCCAAAATAGCCTGTCTAATAGATAATTGTTTCAGTTGACTTGCTACAAATTTTCCAAATATGTCATGCTCATTTTCCTCTGGTATGTTATGTATTATATTATGCTCATCAGGAATACTTTTTAAATCTTCCTTGATCGATCTTATTTCTTTAACCAATGACGTCACTTGCGCAAATCTTTTTCTTTTAGGAGTTGGTGCTGCTGACACTTCCGACGTTTTGTGTTTCGTTATATTAGACGATGTACTGCTAGATGTGGAGGGCCGTGCCAACAAATTTTCTGAATCCGCAACATCTTCACTGTTATCAATATTGACATCAATATTGTCTTCACTATTTTCAATATCGGTTCCTCTGTTGTCTGGCTCTTCGTCTATTGTTTCTGATTCTTGACTGTCCTAAAACTTTTTAAAATACAATGGCTACCTAGATACTTACAATATTACAAATATATTTTTTTACAGATTCCAAGTAATATTGAAGAATGGGCGGAAATAGAAAATGGATTTAAAAACAGATGGAACTTTCCATTATGCTACGGTGCCATTGATGGAAAACATATTCAAATTATTGCTCCTGACAACAGTGGCAGTATATATTTTAATTATAAAAAAGTATACAGTATTGTTCTTATGGCAATAGTAGATGACGACAATTGCTTTCGATATATTGATGTCGGCGCGTGTGGAATGGCATCAGATGGAAGTGTATTTAGAAATTGCTCCATATATAATCAATTAGAGAATAATCTCTTACCAAATGGTGGAGTGATTGTTGCGGATGCTGCATTTCCGTTAAAATCATACATCATGAAACCTTACCCAGGTGACAATTTAACACTGGCACAGAAAATTTTCAATTATCGATTATCCAGAGCCAGGCGCATAGTAGAGAATGCTTTTGGAATATTAGTAAGCCGATTTCGAATATTTCAAAAACCTATTGCAACCCAAGTGGATACAGTGGATAAAATTGTATTAGCAGCATGTGCTTTACATAATTGGTTACGAAAAGAAAAACGAAACACGTATCTAACCAGCAGTGATGTCGACAGGGAAGATATTGAAGCAGGAACCACTACTCTTGGTTCTTGGAGAATCGAAACTACAGCCTTAGAAAGTTTATGTCGACAAGGAAGTAACCATCCCTCGATTTCAGCAGTCCAGAAAAGGGAAACTTTTAAAAACTATTTTATTAACGAAGGTGCAGTGCCTTGGCAATCAGCAATGATTCATTGAATCATTGAAAGTAATCTAAATTCAGTTTGAAAAAGAAAGAGAGTAGGTAATAAATTATTAGAGAAGTCCAATTTAAAACGTCAATAACTAACAGTAAGTTAAAGGTTTTCCTTATTAAATCAGGTTTTTTATTCTCTCTTTTTTTCAAACAAACTGTACTTAAAATATATTAATGCTAATTAATAAATTGATGAATGTAACTTACCGTTGTTTTTCTTTTCATTGGCACGTTTTTTATAAAACTGTGCATTTCCTCGAACCAATTCATTTTAGGCTTATATTCATCTTTAGCTCCTGCTCCAGACCTGGTCGATTTCTCAATTTTTGACAATTCTTGGCAATAAGTGGCTCTTAAATTTTTTATTTTATTTTTTATATCTTTTATATTCATTTTTATACCTATTTGCATTAATTCTGTACAAATTCTTTGTAACGACGAATCACGCATCTGTTTGTCTCTGTAACAGGGAATAGTGGCATTCCAGAGACATTCTTCATTACGATATAATTGACCGAATTTTAAATTAACTTCATTATTTAATTTAGGCATTTCTGAATCGTGTACATATGTAGATAATACAAAACGTTTTCACCATATACTAGCCGATCATGTACTATCTTCGTCGTCCACACGAAGCCAATACGCAAAGCCAGGGCAGTAAACTCGGTGGTGGGAGACGCTACTAGCGCAAAAAGTAGAACCCCATCCTATTGAAACTATCCTGGCTTAGATGCTAGCTTACTCGCTTCCTCACTAGCTTACTAGCTTAAAAACTAAGTTAGTTCTGTTTACATGGAGCTAGAGTTGCTAGCTTGCTAGCTTACTAGCACTAGCTTGCTATCCTNAAAATATTTACAATAGAACAAAACAAACCAAGACAATGCACTGTCTATTCTTTCTGAGGTCGTTGGGTTTCTCAATATTACCATGACACATTAAAGCCTTTAAATAGTAGTTTGGAACAGTAATTTTATTTCCTCCGTGTTGGCAACTAAATTTCGGTAAAATTAAAAATTATTAAACTAATAAGATCAAGATTACATTAAAACACAACATTCTGTTACAACAGCTGTGATTGGAGTAAATGTTCAAGAGATTCTATTCAACCAAATCAGCGGTCGCATTATCTCGAGCGTAGGCGTAACGGTTTGTTACTGTTCATTGTAAACGACTCATTAATATTGATGACGCTACGCTTTAGGGATTTTTCCTAATCTAGTTACATAGTTTATAGTTCTGTTTATCTCATCAGTTTGCAAACTAATCACAAAATTGCGGAAAATTAATTGACTACAATTAAAAAAATCACAAATATTTCATAAAATATTTCAAAAATGGTAGACTACATAAGGTATGAAATATGAAAGTTTATTAAGTTTACTGGGAGGTAAAATAATTTTTATAACAGGCTACACTTTTGAAAAAATATTTTAGTGCTATTCTATTTTATACTTTTACAAAGAAAATAAATAAAAGTAGAACCTTCACAAATAAATGCAATCTCATACCAGAGTGAGGTAATTTTTTTAGACTCTCCCGGTATATCAAAAAATGACCCTGTAGATCTAAATACATATTGTATCACTCGTATGTCAGAAAAGATTCAATATAAATATTGTTAGAAGTTTAACGGTTTTCAATGAATCTTGTCGTTACGCTTTTAATATTCCAATGTTTTCAAAATTGTAATAGATATTTCTTCTGTGATACGAATTTCTACAAAAATTAAATTATTTAATCTTCGGTAATCCAAATAAGTTTTTGTGTAAGTTGTTGTTTGATTTACATAGAAGGATAAATAATAATATTTTATAAACAAATTTTTATAAATGTTTTGCATATTCAAGGATAAGTTGCAAATACTAATTATATAATCCTAGATATGTATTGTTTATGATATTAATCGCTAATAACTTTTTAATATGCTCAAATATTGCTAATAAAAATACATTTTATTTCTAAAATGAGAGTAGATTAGTTAATTTTAATTGATTTTATGTTTAATATTTGTCATTTGTTTACAATTTTTATACATAATTTGTATGTAAAAAATATAATCTCCAATAAAGAAATATAGAGTTGTTTTCTCTTTTCTTTCATGCAATTCTATGTCATTTGTATTTTTACTCAATATTTAGCAAGTTTAAAGCAAATTGAAGCGGTTTTTGCGCAGAATTGAATTACCTTCAAACAATTCAGTCAACATGCTGAAAAACATAAGTGCCATAAAATAGGATGACTAGGTGTGTCAGTGATGCATGAAAGAAATTGTTAGTTAGGTTGCTTTTATTGCGCCTTATATGTGTCCCTACATTACATTATCATTTTTTATTTCCTAACTTATAAGCATAGTTTTACTGCCATTACCCATTTCAATTTAGTTTCTTTTTGTATACAGGGTGTAAATAAATAAGTGCGAAAAAATTCAACACTGCTAAAAAATAAGGTGGGTCTTTTATATAAAAAAATCTCATTTGAACATCTCGTGTGAAGATACAACTGCTGCCAAAAAAAAATTAGTTTTTAATATGTTTCTGAAACTTTTTCTGATATCGAGAAGAGAACAATTTGTCGATTTTTCCCTACGATTCTGAGTGGCAGAAAAAGCCATTCCTAAGATTTGTTTCATACGTAACCTTTTTTCTTATTAATATCTTATCATTTAAAATATCCTAAATTATTCTAAAAAAAGTTCTCTTGAAATTTTTTCGTAAAATAAACGATTTCTGAGCAAAAAATTTATTTAAAATCATTACACAGCATGACTGGCAAATGGTAGAAATTACATCGAATTGTAATTTATCTAGTAGGCGGCTATCACACTGACGTTTTGTATTGGCAACATACCTAATTGTTCTAATTAATGCAATAATTTTATTAAATATATGAAGAAACAAACATTCAACATTTAATTTCTATTAGTTTCTAATAATTTATAATAGTTTGCTTTGTCATATATTTAATAAAATTATTGAATTATAACAATTAAGTTGCTATTACAAAATATCAAAGTGACAGTCGCCTACTAGAAAATTACAGTTCGATAAAATTTCTACCCCAGTCATGCCCTGTAATTGATTTTAAATAATATTTTTACTCCGAAACCGTTAATTTTACAAAACAAATTACAATAATTTAGAATGAATGAGGCTATCTAAAAAAACTTCTCGATAGCGGAAAACGTCTACTTAGTTTCATGTCTGTTACTTTTTTCGATATTTCAGAAAAAAATTAAAAACTACTTTTTTCTTTAAAGGTTGTAAATCGATGTTTAAATAAGATTTTTTTTATATGAAATATCCACCTTACTTTTCGACAGGGAATCTCCCCCTGAATTTTGTCGCACTTATTTATTTACACCCTGTATAACACAATATTAATTCACATCAGTCTAGATTTGCATAATAAGTAAATACTTGAAAATACATTGAAAATCGTTTAAAATTGTATGGCACTTTCCGTCGAATTGTTTGAAAGTATTTTTTATTCATATTAGTATTTAGAACAAATATAATTTACTGTACAAGTATTCTTGATGTTTACGAACTGTAAATACCTAATTATTATCACTTTTTTTTTCATTTATGTTTTTAAATGTGGTAATAAACAAACGAGAGTAAAAAAATGTAAACGGTCTGAAATCCACTTCACTCGGTATGCGCTCCATAATAATATTATCCTTAAGTGACATATAATTTTATTTTAATGGTAATTGCATCCAAACAAGAACGTCACTGACTGATTCTTTCGGTAGCGACCATATGTTCGAAGTCTCTTTACTTACGTTGAATACTAAAGATACGCCGTCGATGAAAAAAAAACTTACTGAGCGTATTTACAATTCAACGGTTGTGTTTTATATGCAGCGCCAAATATACTTTTCATGTACACGACAGGTATAATAAAAGTTTATGCCAGTCAATAGTTTTTAGGGACGGTCGTTTTAATTGATAGTGAACCGAATACTAATTTGAGTAATTACTTATTTTAATATCCGGTTTTTCTTACCGTGACGAGAAGCGCTCGCGCAGTGGTCATTACTTTCAAATTAATGTCCTTCTGTGTTTATAGTGAAGAATAAATTAACGGTTTTAGATCAAATGAAAATAAAATGCAATGGGAGAAATATTATTTATATAGTGTGTTCGAAATTAATGGGACACAGAGCAAGAGTAGATTCCTTACATCAAAATAATGCGATTAAGCCAAACTTACCTTGGTCCATTTGTGGCTAATAAAAAAGTTACAGGGCGTTAAAGTTGAAATTTTGAATTCGAAATTCTTAAAATTCTTAGAAAGTTTTCAAAAGATTCTTTTGAAAATTTGGATTAGGGGGTTTTCTGGGACGAGAAAAACGAATCCGTACTTAATTTTGCTGTAGACGCTAGAGGGCGCTACGAAATGTACTCTTGGTTGATAAAAACTGGTTATAACTTTTTTATCAGTGTGTGTACGAAAGTTTTAATAGAAAAATATTGTTCTCCTATCTATTTTTCACAAATAAGGGATACTTGTTTTATGTCGATAAATTTAACCGTTTTCGATTTATTTCTTGTTTTTCTATTGGATGCAATAAAATAAAATAAAATAAAAGTTTGTAGTTACTTACGTAAAAAA